CTCGCTCAGTAAGTGAAGTCACAGGAGGTGTGGGTGTAGTTGTGTCTTATGCGGATTGTTGTGTTTCACTCAGTTAGACACAGACTTTTCAGTCTTGCAGGCCCCAAGTGTCCTTGGGGTTGCTGGAAAGCAGAGCGTGTTCTTAAGCCCCAGAAATCTGCCAGAGCGCTGCCTCTTTAAATATCCAAAATAGTCCTGTATATGTGCTTTTATACTCTTTTTTCATTTAAGAATATATCTGGGAAGTCTCTTGGAAGCTACATTTTTATCCATATTGTCTAACACCAGATACCACCAAGTTCCCTAAAGAGACTTTGCCATATTCATCCACATATTATTTCTCTTCTCTCTTCTTTTTAGAGTAGCTGTAACTTGATGCTTCTTGGACCTCTCTCACTGTTACTGCCATCAAGTCGATTCTGACTCATAGTGATCCCCTTTGGGTTTCCGAGATGGTAAATCTTTATAGAAGTAGATTTCCCCATCTTCCTTCCATGGAGCAGCTGGTGTGTTTGAACTGCCAAACCTTCTGGTTAGCAGTCAAGTGCCTTAGGCACCATACCACCCCAGCACCTTTGACTCTCTAGTAGTCTTATTTCTCTCTACCACCCATACCTTTATTTTCTTAAAAGATTAGGGCACTTAAGAAATAATGCCTGTTTAGGATGTAAGCAGGCCCAAAGGAAGATCTTCTCAGTTTAGGAGAGGCCTTAGACTTTCCCTTAGATCTTTGGTCTTCACAAAGGAAGGTTACTCTGGCATTTCTATCTAGGAACTAACAAGGACTGTAGGATAAGAGTAGGATGGGATTCTTAGAAACAGACACTTACCCATGTTAGACAGTTGGTGAGGAGATCCACTGGAGTTGGAGATGCTGATAAGAGGAGAGATGAGCAGAGATAGGATTCATGGATGTCCCCCATCTTCCTTTGTTTTTACCTCTACTTCCTGTTCATGAGCACCCTTGGGACAAGCAGTAGAGAGGGATTGGGGTTAGTGCTCTCTCTGGTGGTCCTCAGAAAAGTGTGAAGAAATATGAGTGAAAGGGATAACTTATAAGTGGCATTAAAGGACACCTGGACACTGTCAGTGTAAAAAACAGACAACCAAACCAGTAGCCATTAAATTCATTCTGACTCATGATGATCCCGTATGTTTCAGAGTAGAATTACGCTTCATAGGATTTTCAGTTGCTGTGATCTACTGAAGTAGATTGCCAGGGCTTTCTTCTGAGGTGCCTCTGGGTAGATTCGAACTGCCAGCCTTTTTGTTAGTAGCCAACTAAGTGCGTAACTGTGCTACCCAGGGACTCCTGTTAATATAAAGGGGTGTTAATAGATCATGTGGATATAAATCAGTGATTGCTAGGACTGAATAGGAGGGGTAAAATTTTTTACTGATTTGAAAAAATAGGTGAGAACCTTCTCTCTTTCCTCTGTTAGCATGTAAAATAAACATGCTTTAGAACTTTATTTTTCTGTCTTTATATTTCTTTCTCCATGTAACGTTCTCTCTCCATGTATGTCTTTGTCTCTGTTTTGTTTCCATCTTTATATATTTCTGCATCACTATTTCTAGGCAAAAGATAGTATGTATTTACCTGGCCAAATCATACTGCCTTCCCCCAAGCCACAACAGGGAGGCAGTACAGTATACATGGTTAAGAGAGTAGTTTTGAAGTTAGGCTGATTTAGGTCTCAAATTTCACCTCTGCCCCTTCATAGTTATATAACTTTGGCATGTTACTTAACTTATCTGAGACTCAGTCTCTCCATCTGTGAAACAGAAGTGGTAATATATACCCTATGAGGTGTTGTCAGAAAGGACCATTCCCTGGAGAAGGATATCATTCTTGGTAAAGGGTCAACGTAAAAGGGGAAGACCCTCAACAAGATGGATTGATACAGTTGATGCAATGATGGGCTCGTGTATAGCAAGGATTGTGAGTGAGGTTGGCACAGGATTGGGCAGTCTTTTGTTCTGTAGTACTTAAAGTCAGAGGCAGCTTGAAAGTACCTAACAACAACAACAACTACAACAACAACAACATGGAATGTTGTAAGGAATATATTAAATTATATTTGTAAAGTGTTTAACATAATGCCTTGCACATAATAAATGTTCCATAAATAGCTGTTCCTGTTGTTACCATTATTGGTGGTGTTATTACTATAATCTGAGTCCTCTGAAGATACAATATCTGTATCTATATCTAAATAAACCAGATATGCAATTTATATGTGGCTGTCTGAGCCTGGGTGAACTTTTGTGTATTATTCTTGAAATTTGCTTTTTTGGCAGTTTAACTGAGATTTTTTATTGTTTAGGTTGTAAATGTCTTAAAATCCTTGTTGACAAATCTTGATGAAGTGAAGAAGGAAAGAGAGAGTCTGGAGAATGATCTGAAATCAGTGAATTTTGACATGACGAGCAAGTTTTTGACTGCTCTAGCTCAAGATGGTGTGATAAATGAAGAAGCACTTTCCGTTACTGAACTGGATCGACTCTATGGAGGCCTTACAACTAAAGTCCAAGAATCTCTAAAGAAACAGGAGGGACTTCTTAAAAATATACAGGTGATATTTTCCTTAAAATTTAAATGAATCATCCTGGCCTAAGCCTGTGTCTATTTAGGATAATGAAATGAGAGAATTTATATAATTAAGGGGCAACATTTGATATGACTGTATTTTGTAGAATTTAACTTGGCATATTAGTTTTAAAAATCTGTGAAAGAAAGTCACATTTCTGTGGCTAAAATATTGCATGATACTTGTTGTTATTATGTGCTGTCAAGTCGGACCTGATTCACAGCGACCCCTCCTTGGGTTTCTGAGGCAGTATCACTAGTTTGCCCAACCTTCCTTCCGAGGAGTGGCTGGTGGGTTTGAACCACCAGCCTTCTGGTTAGCAGTCAAGTGCCTTAGGCACTACGCTACCAGAGCTCCCGCAAAAATACCCTAAGAAGTAAAAAAACAAAAAATTATCCTAATTGTGTTTTTTGCAAGTGTTACCATTTATTACTAGAAATATAAAATCATTATTGGTTATGTTTTGACACCCACTGAATTTATATTTTTTACTTTAAGGAAAGGTTTCAAGTATTGTGTTTCCCTAAAAGAAATACTATGTTTGATATTTTTGGTAATTCTTGCATATAATCATGTATGATTTTCATCGTTGGAAAAGGGTATTTAAAAATGTCATATGCTATACTAATTTTATAAATAAATGTAAACACAAATCTTTCTTTTAATAAGGTCTCACACCAGGAATTTTCAAAAATGAAACAATCTAACAATGAAGCTAATTTAAGAGAAGAAGTATTGAAGAATTTAGCTACTGCATATGACAACTTTGTTGAACTTGTGGCTAATTTGAAGGAAGGCACAAAGGTATCAAGTACATAAAAATAAACAGTAGCTAACTATTTATAGATGTGAGAATATGGGTTTGGAGATGTTAATTGGTGTTTCCAGCCTCTGATTTATTAGCTTTAATCTCTTTTAACTCTTGTGAGTAAGATTAGCGAAGTTTTAATGAACATGGTTACATTTCATGTGAACTTTTGAAGAATATTTCACCAGGTAGAAAAGGGATATATGGTATAGGCATTCTAGGTAGCAGGAATTAGCACAGAAGTAGCAAAAGCCAGTGATACTTCTTTAGGGGTTTAAGAAGCTGATCAGTTTGAGTAAATTATGAGGGAATTGGGGTAGTGAAAGCTGATCTGTGGTTGGGAAGGAAGGGCGTGGCTTTCACATTCTTTGCTGGGGTTTGGATGATTGGATAGATTTGTTGCCTTACTATTTACTTACTAAATATGTTTTAAGTATTTTCTTGACTTGTTCTTCATGGAAGTTTAGGAGAATGTTTTATTTTTTAAATGGATTTCTTTTTAAGGGAACAAATGATTTTTAAGTATTTTAGATATAAAATTTCTATATTGATTATTCAATAAAGTTATTTTGATGTAGATATAGTAGGTATACTGCAAAGCCCGTTGAAGAAGAGAAGGTAGAAATATTGTAAAACTTTCCAAATAGAATAGTAAAATACCATTTTGGTTTGGTTTAAGATGCTTTTTTTAAAAATAGATAAACCAAGAAATTTCTCCAGAGAGCCTTTGGAAATTCTGTTAAGGATATCTGAAATGATTCCTGAATTTCTGAAGTCTGTGCAAATCTGATCCTTCCCTTTAAATAGGCTTAGTGTCTTCATTAAGATAAAGTAGTTGACTTTTCTCTAGGAATTGAGAATACATTCAAGATCTTAACTTGTTGATGTTTAGTTTTTGGTTAACATGTTCTTTTCAAAGAATTTTGTTTTTATGTTCTTTAAGAATCTTACATCATATTTAATACTAAGTTTTTTGAGTTAATAATTGGTAACTTTGTGTCTCATACAGAGGATTTCCATTCTTCAGCTTTAACCACTTGATAAATTAACTTTAGATGGTGTTCCTCCCTAGATTAAAAATTATTCTGGTTTATTACTTATCTTTGTTCTTTGCTTGTAGTTTTACAATGAGTTGACTGAAATCCTGGTCAGGTTCCAGAACAAATGCAGTGATATAGTGTTTGCACGGAAGACAGAAAGAGATGAACTCTTAAAGTAAGTTAGTTTGTGTATCTAATTGTACTTAAAGTAGTAGTATTATAAAAAAATCATATATGGAAACTTTTGGTGAATTTGGCATCATGAGCAGCAGTTTCCTTCCATTTCTCCTGGGTATTTTACAAAGCAACAAGCCCCATGATCTGGGAATGAAAGACTTAGAAGGGGTAGAAGCTATAGATGTAGGAAGTACAGTGGGGTCACAGAAATAATAACAAAATAGCTCAGGTGACAAATCTTAGAAAATGCTCACAATTTACCTTGAAATGGCAAATGTAGATTCCTTCAATGAAGCCGGAGGTACAGAAGAACATGGAGAAGACAAGGTGTATAGCTCAGAAAATATCAGCAAAACCACTGTTTGAAGGAGCCTTCTGAGAAATGTTGGGTCAGGAACATGTGATTCATTACATACTGAATAATCAATAAGGAGTTGGCACAGCATTGTTACAAAGGTACTACATTTATAAAAGTGAGAAAAAGGATAAAATTTAATAAAACTAATAGATAAAGAACATACCAGTATAATACTGGTACAGAACAGATGAAATCTTGAGGAAACATTTCACCATGAATTTAAAAAACAAAAACACCCCACAAAAATGCAAGCTAGCAATCACTTAAGGCCACACCAGAAAGTGAGCATTCAGGAAATGCTGAGAAAGCTGGAGGGTATAAAATGTAAGGTGTCTGCAAAAACGACAAGGAGGCCACATGTTCTGACCTCTAACCCTACAAGGGGAAGGCAGGATTACCAGCAGTAACCCAAGGCCTATTACTGCAAGGCCAGACATGCTGCCTCCCTCCAGCCCTTTCACCAACCGTTCCTCCCAAGGCACCCACCACCTCTCTCCTGGGTTCGATAATTCACTGCAGTGGCCACACAGAACTCACAGATTATGGGGTATATTAGGGAAGCACCAAGCTACAACTCAAGTTCAAGAAAAATGCTCAGTCTCTCTCCCAGCCCACCGTCACTCGGCCAACAGTCTCTCACAGTCTCTTTCCCAGCAGCACTGGTCCCTCGGTGTCTCACTCAGCAATGCGTGTCTCTTGCGTCTCTTTCCCAGCAACACGTGTCTCTTTCAGGGGTGCGTGTCTCTTTCGGCAGCAAGTCTTCCTCAACCAGCAGTCAGAGAGAGAGAGTTCTGCCTCTAGGAGGCCTCCTTTTGAGCCCCGCCGGGTGGTCAAACTAGCCAATCATGGCATCAGAACTCTAAGCACCTGAGAGAGAGTGGGCACCTCCCAGAACATTATATTGTGCCACGCCCAACAGAAATACTCCACTTGGATAACATTTACAATCAGCTCCTCAGTTGCTCATTCCACCACTGAGTTTACAATGACTTATGGGTAGAAAAGCCATACTAAGTAATTTACTACACTGCAGTGTCAGAATTAAGTAAAGAAGTAAAAAAGAAGAATAAAACCATCACAGACAAAGGGAGACTAGACACTGAAGGAAACACAGGAACATAGAGAATTGGAATGAGGAAATCAAAATGAAACCAGCGTAAAGAAAGAAGTTAAAGGGATTGCAGAGAAGCTAGGCAAATACAGGCAAAATCACAATCCCCTCAGAAGAAAAACCTTTGAAAACAGTAAACAAAACAAATGTTTAGTGTTACTCAAGAAAATTTTCCTAAAATAAGTGAAAGCTTATTGAAAGGATATAGCATATGGTAGGGAAAAGTGACCAACATCTGTCAACACTTTAGATATATAAGGTATTAGCCTTTAAAGATAATGGCAGATCACATCACTTTATAAAATTGTGAAAAAATTAGGATGGCAGCATTGCATGCCAAAAGAGAGTAGAATGATTGCTGTAAGAATTTAAGGAAACGACATAGGGGTCAAGGATTTACTATCCACTTAAGCTGTCCTTCAAGTATAAAAGCCATATTATTTTCATTAGTAATGTGCATGAAGAATTCAGGGAATATTATACCCGTAACCCCTTAGTGCCTAAGGCACTTCACTGCTAACCAGAAGGCTGGCGGTTTGAACCCACCAGCCACTCCTCGGAAGGAAGGTTGGGCAATCTACTTCCATACTGATAGTGCCTCGGCAACCCAAGGGGGGTCGCTATGAGTTGGGGCCGACTTGACAGCATATAACAACAACAATAAGCCCTTCTTGAACCCTTTAGTCAGCTGGACTTTTACTCATTTCTTTGTTCACATTTAAACAGTTTCCAAAAAGTAGAAGCTATCCAGAAACTACCTATCTCTACTCGAAGAAGGAGCAGGCCCAGTTGTATTCACAGAGTATTTCTATCAAACGTTTAAAAAGCAGGTAATTAGAATGCTTTTTAAATAGTTTTAGAAGGAGCTCTGGTGGCATGGTGCCTAAAGCATTTGACTGCTAACCAGAAGGTTGGCAGTTCAAACCCACCAGCTGCTCTACGGAAGGAAGATGGGGCAGTCTACTTCTGTAAACCCAGTGGGGGTTGATATGAGTCGGAATTGACTTGCATTAATCTTCTTGATAACAAATCCTGACATTAGAACAGAAGAAAACACAATCTTCAGACCAGTTTCAGTCATGAATATGGATGCAAAAATCCTAAATAAAATACTTGACAGCGGTATTCACCAGTATGTTAAAAAAGAATCACAACCAAGGAAGGTTTACTCGTAACTAGTGCAGTGATTGTTTCAGCATTGGTGCATCTAAGAA